TCAATACAAAATTGGTTGGAGGATTTCATCATGAACTGACATCAGTTAGAGAACCACTGGAAAACCTGGGAGTACTGGACAGCTGTCTCGTCAGTCTAGTCTGGGACTCTTCATCAGTACGCACCCACCTACATATAAGAATTACAAGGAGAAGAAAACAATTTAAGTAGATCTATATTTTAACGGTTTAATGGCAGACATTTATTTGTTTATGAATACTTTCAAATGGCTATCACTTTAAATAAAATTCAGCCTGCACTCGAGGGGATGGCGTGTGGAGTGTATGTCCAAACCATCTCCATTTCCTCCTATATATTTGTTGGGCTAGTCATAAATTATTGGCCGATTCGCTGATGGAGTTCTTCGTTGGTTATCATTTACAACCAGCCAACTGAACTTAAATATCTAACCGGCAAACACAGGTGTTGATTAAAGATAGAAGCTGTCTACTGAAAAGGCTTTTCCAATGCATTTGCTAAGTCTCTGAATCATATAGAATCACTGAGTGACTTGATGTTAATCTTGTGAATAGAGATATTGTTCGTTAAGCTGAGTGGCGGTTGTAGATTTATCTTCACACAGATTTCAGAATAATGAATGCCTGTCTTGCTTTTTTTGATCTAATTCTAACTGCCTTTAATATTTTCATCCGTTCTGCCGCTTGTATTTCAGATGATGCTGTCTAGTTCAAGATAAGTGAAAGAGACAACTTTCTTTTAGATTTCTCTCGTTGTTAATGTTTGTAGTTATTGTTAGTTAAGTATCTTCATTACCTCTGTCTTCCCTATATTCACTTGAAGGGCTATTTTCGTTGCCTCTTCTATTAACACGTTGGTTTATGTTTATAAGTATCTGGGTAATAAAATTATACAGCCGTTACTCTAGGAACTTGATTTTTCCTCCTCGGGAATAAATAAAAGTGGAGTAAAAACCATCAACAGTTCGATATCAGACCACTTGGTCCAGACCACCGTCCACAAAACCAATCAGCATTGACGAATCCTTTTCTATCATCTGCTGAGTACCAAATAAATTGCTAAAAACATCGAGGTACCGCATACTACAAACAGCAGAGGGTATCGCTATTCGCCGTAAACAACTGGTACCGTGTGTGTGTATGTGTGTGCAAAAGAAGTAAGTACAGCCACTACTACTCCCCTGGACGGCCTCCAGTGGAGACTATAAATTCATGAATTTGTATTATTATCTTACCTAATTTCCCTGATATTCAGTGTATTGTTATGTTGATGTTATTGAACTGTAATCTATTGATATTAGTATTACTGATTCGATGGTATTTAAACAAGATTAGTGTTTTTAATAACACTAATTCATTCACTACATTGTACACATAACTGTAGAACCTGCTGAAGAAGAATATTCTTTGTTCAGTAACCATTCTTTTGAAAAGTAAACATTCAATGGAAAAATATATATAGTGGGTTTGACCACGGATTGATATCAGTTACAGAAACATTGAAAACCAGCCACAGGGAGTACTGGGCAGCTGTTTCATCCTAGTTTGTTAATCATCATCAGTACACACACACACTGGGGTTCGGATCCAAGACCCTCCAGTGGCTAAATGGTATACGAGCTTGCCTTGTAGCCGGAAGGTCCTGGTTTCAAACCTCGTTGGTGGGTGGGTACTGTCGATGATTCTCAAACCAGGATGAAACAGCTGTCCAGTAGTCCAGTGTTGGTTTTGCAATGGTTCTCTAATGGATATCAATCCGTGGTGAAACTCGAAAAAACAAATCTAATCCTTACAAACCACCTCTTGAAAAATATATATAAGTTGACTAGAGGTGCACATTCTAACAATTTAATAGGCACAATCATTCAGTCGTGCATACTTCTAGAATGTGTCATCACTTTAAATAAAATAATTTAATATATGATAAGGTCTAATACACATTTATATTCAGGGTGGTGGATTGAATGTAAGGGTGGAGAGTGATATTTTTAAGAATAGGCGTGTGAATTACCATTTTTTGGACAACAAAAAAATCAGCTTCAATTAAATTTAACAACTCAAGTTGTATAAAATTCACCCTATTAACTTATTCAAGATGGATGTTATCTTTTTTTTCACCTTAGTGCATTTTCATGATGAGAAATGATGGAAACTGAATTGATATTGTAATACACTACTACTTTTGATGTGCACCTGGAATTATTTTAGACGCAGGAGATCAGGTACAATGAATACTGATTTCACCTATTTAAAAAATGTCATCAACTAAAGATTAAAAAAAAACGTTGGCATTTATTTTATACTTTCAATCATTTGAATACAAAGAGTTGGCGGTTTGATATCCATAAAATATTCTTTTCCTCTGGTGTGTGTGTGTGTGCGTATATGCATGATATTTTCATCAAAAGGAGAAAACTGACTTCTGTAAACTGACTCCACCTTTTGATGATAAATATTTAAGTTTCCCTATTTAGCTATTCATTAAGTGAATTAAAATTTTCAATTAGAATAAAATTAAACTTAATTTTTGCTAACTTTTGTTTGCTATATGGTATTCCTTAAGTGTTTTGTTAGTAGGGATTTCAGGAAAACCTGGGAGTACTGGATAACTGTTTTCCCCTAGTTTAGGACTCTTCAGAAGCACACACCCACCAATGCTGTTCGAGCCCAGGACCTTCCGGTTACAAGACTAGCGACTTCGTAGACCATTAAGTCACTGGGACCCGATCCAGTGGTCAGCCCATGAATTCCAAGTTCTGCTGATTCACGATAAAGTGCTACCAGTAGCGAATATTATCTCTGGAGACTACTCCACTGGTCACAACTTCCTACCAGAATCCAGACAACTACCTACCTGAATATGGCCAGTGGCCAGTGAGCATCAGATTCATAATCAATGGTCTACAAGGTCGCCTTGTAACCAGAAGGTCCTGGGTTGGACCCCTGGCCGTGGGTGTGTACTGATGATGAGTCTCAAACTAGGATGAATGAGCTGTCAAGTAATCACAGGTTTTCCAAAGATCACCTAACCAATGTCAGCTCATAATGAAATCCTGAGACCAATCAAATCCCTGACAGCCACCACTTGAATAGTAGGTATTTGACTGATTTTAAAGTGCATTTCATTACTATCTCTGATGAGGTGGTGAACAGTCGTCAGAGTGCTCCCTAGTTTTCAGTCATTTTCTATCTGACATCATTTTGCAAATAAATCTAAACTAAAACCACTCCACTAATCACCAATAGGTTAACCTGTAGATTAAATTCCTGGAATTCTGATGAGTACTCATAACCGGTGGGGTCTACCAAAGTCTATGTGAATGCAAACACTCATCAATGACAATCGATGATGATGACGACAGTAAATCATCTACTGAAGGATGAATGTGATCAGATCATAAATCGGGAGTCTTGAGTTCAATGTCATATGGAGTCAAAGTATATACTCCTAAGGATTTCCAAACTAATGCCAAATAGCTGTTTAGTGTTCCATAGTTTTCTATGATTCTCCAACTGCTGCCAATTTGTAATGAAATATAATCTGAGACTTTTTTATTCATCAGTTTTCTGGATATCTGGAATTACACACTAGTAGATTTCTACACAATAAAGGAATCCTGACATACTTGTTCAGTAGTCTAGTTTTCATATAGTTGATCTTTCATGTTATCTCAAGTGCATACTACTGAGTAGTTGAAAATCAGGGTGAAACAGCTGTTTGGTAATGAGATTTCTCTTCAAATGAAGTGTATCCCCAAAAACCTACAATATCAAAATTGGCACGAATAATTGCTGTTCTATGCCACAAAATCTATCACTTCCCTTTGAAAAATTACCAAACCGAAAATCCCTATCAGTAGTTTGTGTTTACGAAACTTCTAACAGCAAAAATTCCCAGCTTTCTCACATTAAAAGTGAGTTGTTACAAAATAGCATTAAGCACAAGATATCTATTCACTCGTTGAAGATTCTGTTTCAGAAATTATATTCTTTCATACTTTCTTTTAAGTAGTATTCAGTTTTTTGAAAAATCATGTACAGCTTCAAATTCTAAGATGCCTAGTTGTCTGATACTCAAAATAATCTTACGAGTTTTGCTGATATTTCTATGATTCTAAAAAATCTCTGGAAGGAAATTTACTCAGCTGTATACTGCTGATTTGTCACTAAAGGATAACCATTATCATATATCTAGTTTTCAGTGTTAATGCTAAGTAAATTATATCAGTTAAATTTGCAGTATGGTCATCAACCCTGATGAATGTCCATCATGATGCACCGCAAACTAATGTGAAGTTGCTTTAGGCAATCGGCAGGATATCCTGGACCTAGATTTCACGCTTACTGACATTCATCATTGTAGCATATCTGAAACCTCTTAAAAACTAATGTGTTCCCTGAGATTGTAATCTCAATTAGTCAGAGGTAACGTCTGTGATTGCAACATTAGGTGACGTGGGTTTGGATTTTCGAGGGTGGTTCACTTCCTTCTGGGCTGTGATACGTCCTACTGATGATGGCCGTAAGCACGAAGACAGCTTCTCGCTAACTGCCTATACCCCCCGAACTTTATTTAGTTGTTTCAAATTTGATTGTGTAACTACGATGAAAAATTAAATAACTTTTCTTAGAAAAAATTTCACTGAAATGTAATCATAAAGTTGGAAATGTTGGAAGTCTACTGTTTGCTAATTTACCCACTCAGTATAATTTTTCAGTGATGCTACTAACCAGAAAGACGATATGTATTTTCATTTCCTACCCTTTTGCATGACGAATATTAAACGGGCATTCAAATATTGATAAAAAAATTTGGTCTGCCAGTTGACCAATCGAAAAATACTTTGCTCCATCACGTGGGTGGATAGCGCATGCCCAATTTTTTAATTGGTTAAAATTTATTCCACAACTTCACCCCCCCTTATTTAATTTTTACACATGGATTACTCTCATTGGTTATTCTACCAACACGCGCAAACACACCACTATATATAACTTAGGGAAATGAAATCATCATTTGTCAGTTAAACTTCACTATCACGCGATAACATCCACATGATCCCATTCACTGATACACGTGGAGACTGTACACGCGTACCACCTATTTACAGTCCACCTCATATAACAACAATGTCAAACCAACCAACTGGATCTAATATTTCTTTGACTGTGCCTCAATCGAAAGTACCATCTCGAAGAGGCAGACGATCAAATGTTCCACCTGAGATTAGAGAGCAAACACGTCGAGTAAGTTGATGTGTGATCTGTACAGATACTTGTTATGGATACAACACATTTTATGTTGACAGAGAATAAGCTTATGATTGCTCTAGTTAGCTTTCTTATATTTCACAAAATAAGTAGCAGGAATTAATTGTTTCTACTCTGTACGATGTGGAGTGATATGTTACTGTAGTCAGTGTCATTTACGTTCACTGTATGTCATGTGGCTAACTTCAGTTTCCTCTAATGTTAAAATGACAGTATATACGGCATTATGATGAACTATAATTATATGTCTTCTCACCTCACTTCATAATCATACTAAGAGTGTGTTATATGAGTTAATTTGAAAGACATTCGATAAGATTATCTCACTAATTGGGTGTATTTCTTCTTTCCTGTTACAGTTGAAGAAACAAAATATGGAACGTAGACGACGTGCGTGTATCTCAGATAAAATGAATGCATTGCATAATTTGGCTATGAATCTGATTGGAATTGATGTAAGTATTCCCTGGATGTTTTTTTTAGATTTCTAAATGATATAACGTGAATTTGCTTGTCATACCATGTTGATTATTTTGTCTTTATGTTTGTATTTGTAATAATAAAACAATGAGAATTTCTAGTAACAGTTTGTTAATGAAACTAAGTATGAATAGTCTCTTAAGCCACTTTATATTTGTCTGTTAGACATCTCAACTTTTAGAGTATTTCAAATCCCGAGTATGTATCACCTGCATAACAACTTATTTTTAAAAACCCTGACGTTTCTCAGATGCATTACTCACAATATCTTAAGATGTGTGTGACTGAAGTTTTATCACACAAAGTAACTTCAGTTAGAGAACCAGTCAAAATCACAGAGTACTGGACAGATGTTCTGTTCTAGCTTTAGACCGCTTGGCTGTACTTACCAATCAGTCAAGAGGAATGGGATCCAGGACTTTCAGGTTACATTACTATAGTGTCTGAAAGTATAACATAACAGTTTTGCAGTTGTTCATGTTTTTACGTTTCAATTGTTTTGTAATCGATATCGATCGGTGGTTAATTTTATCTTAGTTCATATTGTTAGTTTAACGTTAGTCAGGTAGCATATAGATTAAGCTTCATTTATTGTTCTATATGATGAGGAAGTAGTATGATACATTTGCGAGTAACAGTATAAGTTACTAAACGAGTTCAATATAATCATAGTTCAGTATTCTGAGTAGTTTGTACATTAAGCCAAAGTAATTTAATAGATAGCCAATGAGATTATCAATATTGATATAAATGAGATTTTTATACACTTATCTATTTCACTAACAAGATGTTTTGTTTGTATTAAACATCCTCACGCATTTTCACCTTTTGTTTTCCTTTTCTATAGCCTGAAAAATGCGGTAAAGTTGAGAAGGCTGATATACTAAATTTATGCCATGCTGTATTTCAAGGAATTGCAAATATTAGTAAAGATGAACCTGGTAAGTGATTCAATAATCTCTTATTGATTAATGTTTGATTTCCAACTTAACAAATCATTATATGAGTTTTGCCATAATCTAATTTTCGGACTAAACCATCATTTTATTAAAAAGAAGTCTACGGAATCAGGATAATTTCGAGTAATGCTTTAAACTGTTAGCCAGGTGGACGCCTTTTAAGCATAATAGGAGGGTTGTAGTTCATTGGTCTAGGCGCTCAACTTCCAACGTGTGAGTCACAGGTTCGAACCCCACTGTACCTGATTAGGTTATGACAGTCATATGGTATCTTAGCTCATTGCCAACTACATGGGATTACAAGTGGTTGTAACTATCTAAACAATATCCTATATTCGATTGTATGTATTCATATATACAAAACATTTCCTGATATAAGATAATCACCTTTATATACAACTACCATCAATTCCGAGAGATGCTTCATTTATCCCCAGAACAGTCACCTGTAAAAAGATTATCCGTCATCATTTATGATATGTTCAAAGTATGTCCATAGATGCTAGCAGTCATAAATGATATGTGTGGTTAGTTTGATGTGACTGATGTTCAACTACTTCTAACAATTGTCAGTGGCTATTTATCAACAGTCTTTAACTTAGAATTTATAATTGGTGGATGTTGACTAGGAGTAGAATCAAGGATGCATATACATTTCATCCTATTTGGGACTCGTCATCTGAAAGTGATGGTGATCCCATTGAAGCTCGAACCCAATACCCATTGTTTCAAACACCAAAGCGTTATTCACTAGTATTAAAATGTGAACTGTATTTGTTCAATGTATCCTACTTATAATTCTTCTATTTTTCTTTCTAACCTCTATAGAATTACGTTCACGTTTACAAAAATTGCGTCATACTTTAAATCAAACTGGTTGTTCCTCCTCCTCGTCTTCCTCTGCTTCTACATCATCGACTGTAATAAAAAATGAGTCAACTTTAAACACTGATAGAATGACAGAAACTACTGTACAGCAGAATAAACAAAGTGAATCTTTACACTCAAACTGTGTTCATTTCTCTAACTTACCAATACAATCATCACAAACATCATTGTTCACGTCAAGTTATAATGATTTCCAACATAAAATGAATGATGACAATAAAGAAAATATAATACCAAAGATGATTGTTAAAAATCCTTTATCAAATCGTAATACAACTCCTGTGAATTCTGTGAATAACTTACCACCGGCTTCAATTCAACCAATGTCATCACCATTGCCATTTTCTATTTCAACCCCAGTGAGTAAAGTACATTCGAATACTGCTGTCCACTCACATATTTATGAATCATTGGGACCATCACAGTCAACACCCTTACACTATAGTGGAAAATGGAATTTATCATTAAATAACTCTGATAGTGGTTTCTTCAGTAGCCAGTCTACAGAATTAACGTCTAGTGTACAAAAGACGCCTATTTCAGAAACAACAGACAATAAACTTCATCCGTATCAATTCGTTGATTCACCTTCTCTGAAAGTCTCCAATGTTGCCTCGTCATCATCATCTAATCCAGCTTTGAGTTCTTTAAGAAATACATCTCTGTCAACGTTATCATCTCAGTCAAGAGAACATTTGTCAGCATTTAGTGTACCAGTTAAACGATTACCTCTAGTTACCATGGTTGAACAATCAAATGTCTCTTCTAAATCATCAAGTGATGAATACAAGCGTCAGTATAGTACAACTTCTAGTGATAATCGTAGTTCTCGTCATTCTGACACTTCTCAATTCAATACGATTGCATCATATGATAATAAAAATAGTAATACAATTAAACCAGTTTGGAGACCGTATTTAGATTAGACCAAAAACAATTTAATGACCTCATTTGTACAAAACATTACAACCTTTGCACTCACACCGACTTACACTGACTTGTATAAATCCACAAACGAAAAAAGACTTTATTTTTTAAGTTTAAAACACACCAATGTACAGAAATAACTATTTTGCTTTTGTAAAGATTATATATCGATATTTTATCTTAAATTTTAAATTTATTTCCTTCACAGTATATTGAAATAGAGTATTCTTCATATAATTTCTACTTTAAGATGTTTTTTCTTCTCGTCTAGTTGTAAATGCCTGAATAATGCATGCAATAGTAGTCATAATAGTAGTACTACCAATAAGATAGTGTGAGTAGTGATAGATGCACTAATAGTAATATTTATGACCGTGAATGATAACCGTGGGTTGGAATATGATATCTGCCTATTAAGAGCCATCTAACCAGTTCCCTAGAGTTCTCTCGGTTTCTAGAGTATCTAACGTTACTGAAGAAATAGATTTTTATCTTAACGACCGGTGTAATTCTCAAATTGACTCTTGTAATCAAGCCGTGATGGATTGGAAGGTGGTGAAAAATAAAACACACAATTGAAGCGTTGCATTTTCCTTCTTTTTGTCCAATACAACTATGCATCATCTATAGAAATTTAAAGTAATTAGGTCCCAAATAAGAAAGTTTAATTTATCTTAAACGTGTAACGTATTTGAGCAACATATTTAGAATAGGTTACAGGGTTTCATCATGTTTCATCATGAGCTGACATCGGTTAGAGAACCATTTGAAAACCTTCAGGGAGTACTGGACAGCTGTTTCGTCCAAGTTTGGGACGCTCACTGGCGAGTGGCACTATTGCGGTAAGTAATTACCTGGGATTCTAGTGGTAAGTCGTGACCAGTAGGGTACAGCAAGTCTTGTGTGAGGACAAATACTTGCCAGCGATAACATTCGCTCGTGGTCGCACCAAATCGTGGATTGGCAGAACATGGAATTCATGAAGTGGCTATTGGATCTGGTCCCAGTGACTTAATGGTCCAAAAGCTCACCTTGCGACCAGGAGGTCTTTGGTTCGAACCGTATTGGTGGGTGTGTACTGATGAGGAGTCCCAAACTAGGCTGATGAAACAGCTGTCCAGTACTCCCTGCAGGTTCTCTAATGGTTCTCTAAACGATGTTAGCTTATGATGAAATCCTGTAACCAATCAATCAAATCCTTACAAACCAATGCTTGAAAATATTTAAGAATATTCTAATCACACACACACACACACACACACACATGTAATTGTCATACATTTCTGTATAAAAGGTAACAAAGTGTAAATGGTCGAAATTTATTCACCATAGGTCAAAATGGTAATTTAGGCGGTCTAAATCCCTGATAAGAGATAAAAATAGGATGAGGAGATGAAAGTATGGTTAAGTAGAATAAACCTTAGTATTAGATTTAAATTTCCAAGGTAAGTTCAAGGTAATAGTAGATGCTTTTTGAACGCATAAAATAGATTGAAGCCCTTTTATGCCTGAAACTTCAACAAATTTAAGTATATGATCCAAACCGTATTTTTTTATATACCAGGATTCAAGAGACCACTGTAAATAAACTTACTGATCTATCTCTATAATGTGCTTTGCGATAGATGACATTGGGAATCTATTTTCAGGATTAATTATGTTAGGCAGTTGTATTTGTTTATGCAGCCATTTAAGAATGTGTTTTGTCACCCTGACTTGCAGAGTTCAGTGAGTCCTCCCTATCTACGTGTGACCACACACACACACACGGAAACTGGTAAACGTAGTGGAGTGTGACTAGTGTATTCTTTTAAAAATCTACTATCATATCAACAAAGTTAAAGGTTATACAAATTAATGAATACTGATTAAGCTAAAAATCTAGGAGGGAAAAACGATACCGGGAATATTTAGACTATATACAAATATGTATAAACTGAATCTTGTCTCAGGCTAACAGTTCTATTATAAAAGAAAGAATCATTCATTCCCTAATGCAATGCCGAAATCACACGCGTTAAAGGATTTCAGAAACTATTCACCAAAGATTTTAGGATAGATATAATGCGTGAGAAATGAACTACATTAAGACAGTATTCAGCGTTTTTTTTTATCTATCAAGGCATTTATTTTCCAGTTAGAAGATAAATGATGGATATTTCAAATGACACTGAGGATAAACGTTTTGTTTATCTTTTAATAGGTACACCTTGTGTGTTCGGTGTATGTATGTGGGCATATATATATCCCATTTCAGATAATTAACTCACATAAAGCCACGTACAAAGTTCTACTGTTAACTGTGACATTCAATAAAAAAAATCTATTTTAGAAAAAAAGATTAAAAGAAGAAAATCACGTTTCTGAGATGCGCATCTCAGGTTTAGTTGGTTTGTGTGTTCGATTTTTTCTCTCTCTCTCTCTCCAACCGATGATAACCAACCAACCACAGTGTCCTATAACACAGTGTTAGGGGAATTATTTTCATTCTACGGTTGTCTCTTGCCATAACCGCTAATGTGAACTGACAGTAAGTTTATATATTTTTATTTTAGAAAAAAAAGGGGAGAAGCACAATGGACTATCTATCGTATATGATAGATATTCATTGAAAGTGAAACAATTCAAGAAACAATAGTGTGAAAATTTTATTATTATTATTATTAATAGAAAATCATAAATGTATCATAAGCGGTTATCAGTTAGTTAGATAAACACTGGGAATCAACGATACCTGTACAACTGTTCTGTTTTTTCTTAAAGAAATTCTTCAGTAATACAAACATCAATAACTTCACTAAAAACTGAACACATGATCGTTACTGTGTCTAAGCGAACATTTTATTTTTCTATAGTTTGATTTGTAAGGGCGGGTTGTGTTTTTACGATTTGATGATGGATTGATATCAGTTAGAGAAAACCATTGAAAACCAGCACTGGAGTACTGGACAGCTGTTTCATCCTAGTTCGGGACTCTTCATCAGTACGCATTTACCCATTTACGTTCGAACCCAGTACCTTATGGTTACAAGGCAAGCTAGCTCGTACACTATTCAGCCACTGGGACCCGATTCACTGACCAGCCCATGAATTCTAACTTCTACCAATTCGTGATTTAGCGCGACCCTAACCATTGTCGTTGGTGGGACATCCATCCACACACGTGACATCTAATTGGACCTCACTGGTCACGACTTCTCACTAGTTTTCAGGAAACTCCAACCTGTAGGAAGTCAGAAGTTATAATTCATGAGCCATTGAATCCAGTCCCAGTGGCTGAATGGTATACGAGTTTGCCTTGTAACCGGAAGGTCGTGGGTTCGAGCCCTGGTGGTAGGTGCGTACTGGCAATGATTCTCAAACTAGGATGAAACAGCAACTGTCCAGTACTCCAGTGCTGGTTTTCAATGGTTCTCTAACTGATATCAATTCGTGATCAACTCGAAAAAACACCTTATTATCCTCTATGATTTCTAACTCTTTTCTTTGAACGCTAGTTAGTAAATAGTGTAATGTGCCTAGTCCTCTGTTTGGTGCAGACTGAATCCAATCAATCAAGTTTGGAATGTGGTTACCATGCTAGGTGGCTTGCTATCAAGGTACACTTTGGATTGTTGATATCGGATGGTTGATATAATCGACAGGAGGCCTTGGACGTAGGTTTTGTGCTAGTTGGGACTCACCAGTCAACAAGGCGTGCCTGCAACCTTGAAGGAACGCATATCCATTAGAAGATTCGAATCCACATCACCCGGTGTTGCACTCAGAGGCGTCACCACTGAGCTATTCGGGTCTATTTCTAACTCTACCGATTAGATATATGATAACATTACTATGTAATGCAGTCTGCTAATGTCTAACACTGCTTGATGAACTTCAACAAGACTTTACAAAATCTACTTGGAAGTAAGTCATTCACTATGAAGAGAAATTTATTAAGTGGTCTGTTCTTATAACACGTGTTGAAATTAGCTGAATGTTTTAACTGTTTCTAATGAATATAACCTTTTAGATTTTAATAACGATTAACCACTAGATCAACTTGATAGAATGAAGTTAATAGAATAGAATAGAATAGAGGTTAAATTTACATGTGAAGGTGTTCCAGGTGAAGAATCTTTAGAGTCTTAAAAGATGGGTCCTGGCTCTTGGGATAGTTACATTGGGTTGAAGAGTTTCAAATAAGACGAAATACCCCTCCAGGATTTCATTGCTTACTGATATCTATATACTAAGGCATTTAGTTGATGACTTTTTAGAAAAAATTCAGTCATAACACTAATGAACTGTGAAGCATCAATGACAAAGTTGGTTAGTATATGTCCCATGTTTATTAATCGGATGATGGGTATCCTTATGAAGATTACAGTCAGTTTTCCAAGTAGACTTTAAGCACAATCATCCAGATTTATTTGTGAATAGCCTAGTAACAAACTGGATGATTTTAGACAAATTATTCAGATTTCTTATAACCTAGTAACAATGAATAATTATCATTTAGTCTGGCTTATGTAGATTGGAAAAGAAAAATCTTAAATGAGGTGTGAATAAGAAGTCAAAAATCATCTATTTTCAAGTTTTAGTCGACTGTATCTATTCAGATTCACATACAATGTTTTTTTCTTGAGCAAAAGAAAAAGATTTAGAAATAGGAAACCTTTTTTGATTTCGAAGATATTTGAGTCGTGATGCGATATACTACTTACATTAGCCTGGTCAATGCATAAAAAAGCTGATTGGTTAAGAAAGGTGCTGAATCTACTGATGATTAAATGAATTCAATGTGGATTTTGTCACGAATCTATATCAATCAGAGAATCATTAAAAACCATGGAGCATTGGATCGCTATTTCGTTCTAGTTTGAGACCCTTCAGCACACTACATACACATGATCCCTACCAAGACTCGAACCGAGGACCTTCACTTCACGAGGCCAGTATGTTGACTATTCAGTTACTAATCTGGAATCCACTTTTTCTGGTGCTTACACAGATTCTC